GAGAGATTCTGTCTTTAATATAAACAAATATAATAATTTAATATAAACAAATATAATAATTTAATATAAACAAATATAATAATTTAATATAACTCAGAAAAACAAACACAACAACCCCGGCTCATCGTATATATAGTATATATTATATATATTTTAAAGTATATATAATATATATCATATATAAATATTATAATATATATATATATATATATATATATACTATATATATGTCGCGAGCACCGCCTGTAACTGCAGCAGCAAGAGCAGCAGCAGCTGCTGCTAAGCGCTCTTCTATGAAAGTGAGTAATATAAATAATATAAATATAATAAAAGAATAAATATAATTTATTTAATATCTATTTAATAAATAAATAAACAAATAAATAAACTTAGTTGTGCATTTTCTGCGTCAAACTCAAAGAAGGCCTCCGCATATTTTTAATTATTTATTTTTTTTTGTTTTTTCTTCGTCTTTATTTTAATCATCAGCAATTACCCCACTAAACAATTTGCTGCAGCACACCCCACACCAACTTGCTGCTGCTGCTGCTGCTGCTGCTGCTGCAATAGCAGCAGACGTGCAGACGACGGCCGCCGAGCAGCAGCACAGGCGAAGCTGCATGCAGCAGCAGCAACAACAGCAGCAGCAGCAGCAGCAGCTGTTGTCTGCTGTTTCTTTAGTTTCTGGGATCCTTTTAGGTAATTTGAATATACACAGATGTAATGTGTCTTCGCTCTGCTGCTTCCGTTCATAGAAGAGACTAAGCGCTTTAGCAGCAGCAGCAGCAGCAGCAGCAGCAGCAGTAGCAGCAGCAGTAGCAGCAGCAGTAGCAATAGCAGCAGCAGCAGCAACCCAGGCACCGCTGCAGCAACAGAGTCAGGAACAGTTGCGGCTGCGACAGGAACAGCAGCTAAACAGGAGCTGCTGCTGCAGCAGTAGCAGCGACAGCAGCAGCTGCTGAGCAGCTGCTGCAGCAGCAGGGGCAGCAATAACACAGGCACGGCTGCAGCAGAAGCAGCAGGAGCAGCAGCAGCACCGGCGCAGCTGCTGCAGCAGCACCCGCCATAATGGCCCCCAACTCGCCCCAGCAGCCGAAGCAGAAGCAGCAGCAGCAGCAGCAGCAGCAGAAGCAGCAGCGGCGACAGAAGGCCCCAGCTTCAAGCTCTCGTCATGCTTGGAGCCTAGGCAGCAGCAGCTTTGGAGGTAGCACTCAATTAGAATCTATTTTCTCTCATTATGCACACAGCAGCAACACAGTAGGAGCAGCAGCAACAGCAGCAGCAGCAGGGTATATCCCTCCTCCTGCTCCTGCTGCTGCTGCTGCTGCTGCTGATTTGCCTGCAGAGGCTCATGTTGCTCTCACCCGACTTACAAAGAAAGACAGCCTCACCCGCAGCAAGGGGCTGCAGCAGCTGCAGCAGCTGCTGCAGCACCAGCTGGATGCTGCTGCTGCTAAGCTGCTGCTGCCGCAGCTTGTCTTTGGCTATCGTTGTATTGCAGTAGGGGACTCGGAGCAGCAAAATAGAGCAGCAGCGAACATTTGTTTGCTGCTGCTAATCCGCAAGCTAAGAAAACAGATAGCACCGCAGCTGCAGCAGCTGCTGCCTCTGTGGCTGTGCTCGCTGCACGACCCCTCCAGGCCTGCTGCTGCTGCTGCTGCTGCTGCTCTACAGGAAGCCTTTCCTCTTTCAGATGTCTCCGTTGCGCAGCAGCAGCAGCAGCAGTTGCTGCAACAGCAGCTGCAGCAACAAACCACACCTACCGAACAAACTGCAGCAGACGCAGCAGACGCTGCAGCAGCAGCAGCAGAAACAACGAACAGCACCAGTGATAATGGCAGCAGCAGCGATCCCAGCAGCAGCAGCAGTAGCAGCAGCAGCAGGAAGGGGCTTGAGCGACGTGTTGCTGTCCTGGAGCACTGCAAGACGGCGTTATTGGTGGGGCTGCAGCAGCAGCTGCTGCTGCCAGAGCAGCAGAAGCAGCAGAAGCAGCAACTTGCTGCTGCTGCTGCTGCCAGCAGCCGTCCTCTAGAAGAGACTCCGCAGCAGCGCATCGACAGACACCTCATCTGCGCTCTGTTTGCTGCTGCAGATGTCGTTCGTATCCTCAGCCTCCC